AGAGTGAGAAACAGCCTTGCAGGTGCCAAGGTCACTGAAGAAGAAGGGGGACAGGTGCTCCAGGTGCCGGAGCAGAAGTCCCCTGCGGCCTGTGGTGAGGAACATGGTGGAGCAGGGTTCCACACCACAGCCTGTGGAGGAGACCACGGTGAAGCAGGTGGACCTGCACTGATGGAGGCTGCGGTCTGTGGAGGACTCCTGAAAGAGAAAATTTGGTGCTGGATCTGTAGGCTGTGGAGAGGAGCCCACACAGGAGCAGGTGACCTGGCAGGAACTGCTGCCCGTGGGAGACCCAGGTGGGAGCAGTGTACGGGGATGGATGATGGATGGACCCCATGGTACAGACCCATATCTGGAGCAGTTCCTGAAAAACTGCTGCCTGTGGGAAGCCCATGCAGGAACAGTTCAGCAAGGAAAGCATCCAATGGGAGGGACCCCATGTGGAGCAGGGGAAGAGAGTGACTGAGAAGGAGTGGCAGAGACAAAGTGCTATAGACTGACCATGACCCCTATTCCCCCATCCTGCTCAGGAGGAGGTGGAAGAGGGAGGATGGGGGAAAAGGCATTTTCGGTTTCTTTTCCTTTGTTTCTCACTTCTCTAGCTTGTTAGTAATAGGTGATAAATCTTACTATCTCCCTATGCTGAGTCTGTTTTGTCTGTCATGATAATTGTTGAGCGATCTCCCTGTTCTTACATCAACCCTTGAGCCTTTTGCCTTTGAGGAAGGGGAGTAAGAGAGCGGCTGTGGTTGAGCTCGGCTGCCCACCTGAGTAAAGCCACCACAGATGAGCACTTGGGGAAGCCCTAGCAAAAGCAGAGCTTGTCAGGACACGTAAGGTGTTCCATTGTTATTCTTGCTTTATCAATCACTGTCTGTCAAGAAAAAAGTGAGCTTAGGCACTGAGATATAGACCACTCATCAAGGCTAGCAGAAACAATAAAAGGAAAAACTTTGTTCTGTGAGCAAATCTATGGGAAGCAGCAGCAGAAAGAAAGATGAAGACAAAGTGGAAGGGACTGCACAGCTGCTTGCTGGACAGTGCAAACAGCAGCTGCTAGCACAGGGGATGTGCAAACATGAAAAGATTCATGGTGTGCATGCGCTTCAGTTTTAAAACATTTACACTGGCCTTTAGATCGTATTTGAAGCACCAGTTTTAAGATACCTACCCAGACATACAGAAGGAATGAGATGTTAATCCAACCGTGGACCTGAACTCCCTGAGCAGGCAGGTCACCAACTGCAGAGCAGTGCTGTTGGAGCTCATACATCACTCGGTGTCTGACAACCTGCAGGCACACATCAAATTTTGCTAAATATACGTAAAAGATCTACAAACTTGTCCTGTTGCAAATAGTATCTAAATGTTTTCTCACAGTATGATTTACTTTCCCAAGCATTACATATTGCTAAAGAACAGACACACAAATTGCTAAGGAACAAACGCAATGGATATCAGCAACCTACTTGCTGCTCTGAGGTACCAGCAGGGTGTACTAAAGGGTATTTTTTCTTTTAATTAGGATTAATAAACTGAATTCGCACACCATTGTAAGGAAACTACATCCCATCATACCAGATTTATTATTTATTTAGGCCTATTTAGGGGCCGTGACTAGGCAGAAGGCTCACCCATACCTCCATTAACCATATATTTAAAGCCCTTTCAGCTATATCCACACAGTTTACTTTTAAACTCTGCAGGGTGAATTCAGAACTTGATATAAAGATGTTTATTTCCCTGAATAAGGACTAAATAGTAAAACTCATATATGCGCAGCTGGATACTAATTTTTATTAAAAGTGTGCGTGCAAAAAAGGTACAGAAATGCAACTTGCAGTAGTATTTTGTAAGAAAAAGTATTATATGTACTATTATAGTAAAGAATCTCAAATTTAAAATATGTTACTGTGTGACCAAACATAGAAAACAGAACTTGAAGTAATTTACATTGGCCTTACTGTTACTTTGCACAGAGAAGTGCCAGCATATATTCAGGAGTCTAGATTGGGAAACTCTGTTGCATATAAATAACTTGAAACATGAAAATGCATGCTCCATCCTCAGTGGTCTGAAGGGAATCAGATCAAGTATCTGACTATGTGTTTTCAAAATTAAAATTCAAATCAGAATGTGTAAAGCAGTTTATAATAATAATTACATGAATTCCAACTAAGTATTACACAGTAATTACAAGCAGCGCTATTAGCAAATTCAAATACAATTTTAGTTAAAGCTACTATCGTGAAATACCACAACAGACAGGTGCATCCACACATCAACAAATGGCAGAGAAATTACAGATGCTTGTACATTAGGAAAAAAATGAAATTAACTCATTTCTCTGTGTTCTATACTATGTCAGTCTACAAGAATGTTGCTGTTTATATGCCTTGGCAATTTTTATAGGTTAAAGTGTTCTTGAAGAATGAATGCGGTGAAGAAATTAGGAAAAAATTTACAACACAAAAACCATTTAGAACCAGAGAAATCTGTGTGTATTTGCCAATAACAAAAACAAACAAACAAAGATTTATATAGATGTAAAGATTTGATTTTGTTCTCGTCTATGCACCACGTGCTTCAGAGAACAATGCAAGTGATGTCCTGATTTTAATACATATAATCTGAACATTAGGAACATTTTACATCTTACATTTAATAAAAAGGTAAGAAAAAAGCAAGAGAGCTCACTTTAGATCACTTTAAAGCTCACTTTATTTATCTGTGCTTTAGTCTGTAGCCAAAAAAGCATGATTATATGTTGTGAAAAATGTCTTTGAAAAATTTAGCATCATTGGAAATATTTAACTTGAAGAAGCTGCAGTTTTGGGGACATCAGTTTTCTCTACCAAGTGCTAGAAGCAAAATATGTAAAACTGAAATACACAGAAAGATGAGCATGGTTCATTTTGATGAAACATTTAAGAGCATCTCTGCAATCCAGACTCTACAAGTTTCCAACTGTACTGTAAATAAAGAACTACACATTATATATCTGCCATTAAACCCAACTAAACCTCTGGTGGGCTCCTCCCTTCAACTGCTACAGTGATGCACTCAGAGTCTGTGGTCTGATGCTTTCATATTTGACACTATCTTTTCCCTTACAGCCTTCCACTAAATTCACCTGAAACTTCCTTTAATTTTCATCTGGATAGACTTTGTCTAACATACCAAATTTCATTTAGTGTCTCAAAATATATTGTTCTTACAAATTCCGTGGAAACCCCATTTGTCTTCTGATGTAACCGCCATTACTAAATCGTTTCTTCAAAACAGAATAGAGAAGGTGAAGTCTCCCAGAAAAATTTCCAATCTGGTGGCACTTTCTATTTTCTATGATATAGCCTACTCTATATTCTAAAGCTGCACTTGTAATTATGCTTTTTCAATCCTAGTATTTTTCAGGGATCTGATTCCAAAGTGTTCCTTCACTAAGGCCTCAGACTGTTCCAGTGCTACAAATGTGGGGTCCAAATCACATCTGCTGGGACAACTAGAGCTAGATTCAAACATGAACAAAATCTTGGAAGAGGGCTGAATCAGCTTTGCAAGCGTGGTGGAAACTGCATATCATCAGTTTTCCATGTGTGTTCTCTTTGAAAGACCCAGAAGAAGTTTGGTAACAATTTTTCATTTGTTTTTCCTTCCAAATTGCAGTGATTTTACAAGCCATCTGATGCTCTCTTCCATTTAAAGATTTGTTATAGGTGGGAGCTTACTTATTCCTACCTGATTCCTAAGATTTACCACTAGAGAGATCCTTCCTCATGATGGAGGTGAAGACAGCTCACATTCTCAGACACAGACAAGTGTCCCTGGCTGCTCTGCAGCAGGATGCAGCAGCAGGACAGTGCTATATGTTGGCAACTTGGGCTCATTTTACTTGTACAGTGTCCAAGATTTCACCAGTCATGGAATTCATCTCTACTCTGGCATTTGTCTCATTAATTTGTGATCCAACATATCCATTGTCTTATTAATGTAAATCACAACTTTGTTTGCACGGAGACACATTTACATTTTTCACACCCAGGGAAGCTACTACCCTATGGAAGAGTAGCATCATCTGTTCTAAATTCACTTTACCACTAAGCTGCATATTTTCACTAACCCCTTTCATTTCTCAGTCCAGTCATAAACAATGACAATTTTGGATTTTCCCACAATACATCACATGAAGCTAAATAATATTCCTTGCCTTTCATTTCCTGATGTTTAAGTTCGGTTATTACTTTTTTCCTATACTCAGTCACCAAGGAGCTTCAGTATGGTCCTCCCAAGGTGTTGTGGTTTAACCCAGCTGGCAGCCGAGCACCACACAGCCGTTCGTTCACCCTCCCAGCAAGTATGCTCCCAGCAGCATATTTCTGTATACAAACAGCATACTGAACAATAAAGTCAAGATTTCTCAATTTTTCTCCCAATTTTGCCTTTGATTTGCAAAGTAATAAGAACAGCATGCTGGGAAGTTTACTGACCTAAATCTGTTGATACTTGCCAGCTTTTTTGAGTGTCTTCACTCATGGCAACCCATACTTACAAACTGACATATTGCTCTAAATGACAATAAAAGATGATACTGATACATCATCATAACAAATTTAAACTCGTAATTAAAGTGAACAAAGTTGAACAAATATGAAGCTATGTAAGCCTGGTGAAGTGAAAAGGAAAATGCTGAAACAGGCAGGGAGAGGATAGAAAAATACACGTGAAAGAATTCCAAGTTTCAAGAAGACCACAAATTTATTCACTTACTAAACAGTGTTATCTCACTCTTGCAATTGTAAATTAGAGAAATACTGTCTTAAAAAAATAAGCTACAGGTTACTACTGATGCTAAATCAAATCATCCTGTATATCTTTTATAGCCTTTCTTCCTGAAAAGTCCTAAAATATTTATTTAGGATGATGTCTAATTTGTTTTTGGTCTTTCATTCTATGTTACGTAGAGTATTGGAGCCTTAGTAAGCAAGGAGGAAGCACAGCAGTTACAAGAAAATGTATGGATTTTTAATATATAATTTATATACATCAGGATAAGAAAGGCAAATGTATGCAATTCACATGTTTGGTTAAAAAACAAATATGCAAAAATGCTTAAAATATTTATGCTGGCCCACTGTGTTTGAAAGCACTTTGGTGAGAAGCAATTTTCATGAGGCAAGTGGAAGTAGCATTTATCTACAATATTTCAAACCACAGTCACTTTAAATCCCATATTTCTCTATTCATTACACCACTAAGTAGAGAAGTCATGCTGCTAAAATATTAGATAGTTCTATTAGAGCAGTATCATTACATAATCATTTTGAAATAACCTTATTTTTTCCAAAGTGAAATAGAAACAAATATGTATTACCTTGACTTTTAGGAGGTAGCTTGGGCAAGTCAGACCCAACTGTGCTATGCACATTTGGTGTAGGGAAAAGGGTAGAGTACGCCCAGGTGAGACCACACATTATGACAGAAATACAAATTCCATAGCTCCAATCCCAATCTGGGAATTTCACGTGCTTATTGAAAAAAACAGAAACATCTTCTGAGTCCTATTCCAAGAGGTTTTTATGCCTCAACAGTCTACAGAAGCAGCAGCTGTTCCAAAGCCCAGAAGTCAATGCCCATGATGGTCAGTCACAGGGAGTCAACATGACATGTTTGTCCCCAAATCATTCTGACCTGTTTTAAAAATAAACAACTCGATTTCATTTTCCAATACTTTTCCAACTGTGATAAGATGTCTGATTTTCTATTGCCATTACCTTCATAAGAGTTAGTTGCAGTAGCTCAGTCCCTACAGTACTGTTCCTGATATTCATGCAGGAAAATGCCCAGAGTTGCTTCAGCAGCAATTAACAATTACCTTTAAATACAAATCAGAGAATCACAGAATGGTTTGGATTGGAAGGGACCTTTGAAGTTCATCTAGTTTTGACCTCCCTGAACAGCAAAGTAGTATTTCCTATGTTTGAGCAGAAAAAGATGTTGCAGCTGTAATTTGTATTTATACTACATCATATAGCACTGACAGTGCTGTGATGGTACAATGCAGCACTGATTTTCTTTTCATTTTAGAAACAGGAGTCTGAGAGATCTGGTGCCTTATTATAGCTTCAATAGACAGAAACTAAAAGACATACAACTATCTAAAACCCTACCTAAAACCTCTAAGGAAGGGGCATATGAGGATCATCAAGTCCAACTCCTACTTGTCCTATTTTTATTATTATTATATTTGTTTGTTTGTTTCCCACGGAACCTATATTTTACAGCCAAAGTGCATGCAAATATGGAATGATACACTCCTAGAGCTCTGGATGACTGCAGAACTGATATGCAAAAAATGACACGCATGTTTATGGCAGTAATCTAGGAACACATGCACCTACCCACAGAGACAATCTTACCTTACACTACATAAGCCAGATAGCTGGAACTGCTCAAACATCCTAATTATTATTTACATCAGTTCAGGTAAAAGAGACCAAACAAACACATGAATATATATATATTTTTTAAATATACCAAAGGAAAATGATCCAGAAGAGTCTAGAAAAGAAATCCATTAAATGGACCTGTACATTTACAACGTTCATGAGTTTCTAAGCCTGAGTAAATAAGGCAACAATAAATAAATGGAAGCAACTCAGAAAGCTATCTGCAAACATCAACATTTCAGGAAGAATTTAGATTTACCCATTCCTTGTTTCTCAGTTCAGGAAATTGAAACTGTTTGAAACCCTCCTCTTCATAATGGGATAGAACAACACTTTCCTTCCAGAGAAAGGAAAAATAAGACCAAACATGATATAAGCATACAAAAATGAATGATTCAGAATAGGTCTCTCTACGCTCCTATATAGAGTAGCCAAAGTACTAGTTACCATTTTGTAAAAAGAAAGATCTATCATTGATTCTAGTGATATCTGATATGGGGTAGGCACACTACTGCTTGGCCATATCTAGAGGAGGGGTTTAATTATATCCAAAATTTATGTCCTGATTCCACCGCATTTATATTGAAAATTGTATACTGTTGTGCTGTTGGTCATTTTTAAGTTAAACTATCAGCCCTTACTTTACTGAATATCTAGAGAACATAATTTCACTGAAAATTACCTATGATTTTCTTTTCTTCATAGGTATTTTAAAGTAGTATTATTTAAGTTGCACATCCAGTGATTTACTGGTATTGTAGAAAGGGCACCTCTATGTAATTGCATCAAATTGGCTGATGACACATTTATTGATAAGATAGATGTAGATAATTTCTGTGCATTCAATAATCTGTGTTGGCTATTATTGCACCTATAGCATGGAATTGTTATTAGAAGAACAGATTCAGTCCACAATTGTTTAACAGCAGATGAAAATTACATAGCTGAAGGCAAAAATCACAAAGCAGACATGACAAAATGAGACACCCTCCTCCTCCTCCTCCCCCCCCCCCCCCTTTCTTAATATGCATTTTTAAAAATAATTTTCTGGAAGAATACATTGGCAGCAGCCATTTACTGTATCTGTTCATTTGGGAAGCAGCTTCCCAGTCTGAATGATCAAATTTGACACTATTCATCAGACAGTAACAGTGAAATCAAAAAGACAGTAACTGGAAAATGTAATCCTCCCCTGAAATTTTCTTCATCTCACCATCTGCTACCATTCTATTATGTCCCACCGGAGACTCCCTGTCTTGCAACTCGTCCTCTGGGTAGACGTGCTGCAAACCTAACAGGCAGGACTGAGAGTTTTGCTGAATGCCTCCACCACAAGGTTTTAGGTGATACAAAACTAGACCTGCATGTTACTCTCTGACGGAGGAGAAAAGCAAATCAAGTAAAAAAATACACAGAACCAAACACTGGTGCACTTCACTGGTGCAGAGCTTGCTCTTAGGTAAAACACCAGCTCTTCCCTTCAAGGATTGAGCCACCACAAAGGCAAATTTGCGAGCATTTTACTGCACACGTTACTTCCTTGAAATATACTTGAATATAAGCATTCCTTCCTGCTGTCATTACTGGTTAGCTGCAGTGTTGGTGCGTAAGTTGGTTGTACAACATAACTACTTTGGCACAAACATCTTTCCTTAAAGAAATACCTTCTGAGCCAACTCCAAAGGCTAACACCCAAGCAGTGCTTTTTTCTGTCTCACAATTTGAGTAAACAAAATGGTGAAATTCTATATTCAAAAGATACACAATCCCTAAGCACAAAGAGGCTATGGACATGCTGAGACTGTATGGAGAACTTGGGGGTGAACGCCAGCAGCCCACCCAGCTGCTCTTTCACTCCCCTCCTCAGCAGGATGGGGGAGAAAACACGATGGGAAAAACTGGGTTGAGATACGGACAGGGAGATGGCTCTACAAGCAAACTAAAACCACCTTCCTGCCAGCCCTCTTCTTCCCAGGCTCAACATTAATGTGCAAGGCATGTGATATGCTCACAGACCTGAGAGCCTGAAAAAAAAAGATCTATTTCTCTAGTAATTTGTTCTTAGTTTTCTAAAATTCCAAGTGTGTGCTCTTTAAACACTATGTATAAATGAACACTTCTGCTTCCAAAGAAAGCCTTTACAGCAATAAAAGAACAATAAAAGCAACCACTTTTTAACGTTCCTCTGAGCATCAGCTCCAGTTGACTTCATTGTCCTGAAAAACTGATTCCTAAATCCCCCACCCATTCACTCAAAACACCTTAAACTAGGAGCAGCTAACCCGAGTCATTTCAGGGGGAGAACAAACTGCAATACCTAAACAATCCTTGGTTGGTACATTCAGAGATTATTCAAATTATCAGGTAACGTGTCCTACCTAAAAATTCAAAGGAGTTTTAGCCCAATTTAGGTATTTTTAGAGCAAAGGAGTTTACCTATCTGTGCTCCTCCTTAACTTTTAAGATGTGTCAAGATGTGTTTAAGATGTGTTATTTTTTGTGTGTTGAAATTCAGGTGGTCTCTTCCTAAAATGCCTGAACATCCAAATGCTTAAATGCTTGCACCTGATTTTTATAAAAGGTCACATTGATTTTTCACAATGAAAATTTCATACCTACCTACTTAGCAAAATCAGAAAATATTCAGAAAGAAAACAAAGTATGCTTAATGATTTACTGTTGATTTGCTGTCCCAGACAGGTAAACTAAACCACAGAAAAAAATAGTTCTTTACAACAGAAGTCAAGGATCATACTACATAACAACAGGACACTCCCAAAAGCTTTAAAAATCCTTTTGAATACTTTTTGCTAAGACTCATTTCAGTTCCTTCAAGTCTAGAAGCCTCCTGGGACTTTGGGCCAAAGTGTAGGGTCAGAGGGAGCTAACACCAAAATAAATGCAGGTTTGTGTCAGCAGAGACCATGATTCCTTGTGGCATAGGTATGAATACATCTCTGAAAATATACCACCTGAGGTCTGAAAGATTACAAGATCTATTATTGCAATGCATGCTGTCAGGGGATTTGAAATTTAATAATTTATAACTTTTTTAATAACTGTTTTAGAAGGAGAGTTCTGGGACCACATCACCAGCTTATGTAAATTTCTGTTTTAATGAGCCCCACCTGCCCTGAGAAGGTCAGGGATGTACCTGACAGATACTACACTTTTCTGTTCTTTATTTGTTAAATATCTTGTATATTCTACTAAAGATTACAAGACTATTCAAAACATTAGATTATGACTGGAAAACACCATCATTTTCAGTAATTTTTTTCAGGTGTATTACCTCTGCTACAGCTGCCAATAACTAGCTTTTAGTCAGCTGTTAATGCCAGTCACCAGAAAGGCACCTGTGATCTCAGCAGTCAAAAATTCTGTCCTATCAATATTTATAGCTCAGTAAATGGCAGGTGACCTGCACCAGATCAGTGCATGACACCAATGTTCAGTGTCCCAGTTCTCAATTTTAGAAAAGACCCTTTTACAACATCTTTCATACTTGCAATAATAAAATACAAAGCCCATCAACCTCACTCATTTTTCCCTGTAAAATTCACCTTTGCTCCAATGCCTTGCAATGCCCACCCCAGTTAACAAAACTTAGATTTATTTAGATCATCAGCTTTGCGAGGTAAAAACAGGTTTCTGGACTGATTTTATAGAGCAGCTAATATGCATGCTTAATGCAATACTGTGGCTACTAGGAATTGTCACTAATGATGAAAGTAAAAGCAGTAATAATGATGTGTGTGAATTATCAATTGAAAATCAGCATGTCAAGCAATTATTTCAAAATATAACATCGGTGCATTATTTTCTAAGAAACCTCAAAATGTGTGTCTTGGTTAAACAAAGAGACAAATTCAACTCCAACTAAGCATGAAATATTCTGTAATGTTTTCAATATGAGGTTACATACCAAGGTTGCTCATTAGAGTAAATAAGTAGGTAATAAATAAAAAATGAGTGAGAGAAATGTTCAAGGCATCAATGTAAGCTCAGCAGAGCTTCTGTTTTTCTTCAATAATCACTTTGTTGAACCTTTCTGGACTTCTGAACGCTAGAAGACCACTTCTTCCCCTTGTCAGTAATGTTGCAACTGTGATGGGTCAGGTGAGACTGCAGAAGCTGTCTGGAGGTGTCCCCAGCTGAGCAGGAAGTCTGCTGGCTGCTTCGCTCCATGGGCTGTGGGAGCACTGAGCTTCGCTGCCAAACTCAGCTTTGATTCGTGGTTTAGCGAAAACCACTTCATGCATTATAGAGTGAGAACTTATTATTCTATTTGATTTTAAAAAAAGCTGCACTCGACTGGTTTAAGTACAACTGCATGGAACCTAATGACAGGGAATCTGGAGTGGAAAACATCTTTTCCTTTACCATGCCTGCAAGTTGGGCTTTGCCCTTTGTTTCTTAAAGATCA